TGATGTGTATATTAATATTTTTATTTATATTAACTCTGATGTGTATATTAATATTTTTATTTATATTAACTCTGAATGTATAATTATTTGTAGTTTATATATTATTTATAATACATTTCATAAATGTTGTTAATAATGCCTCTTGGAGAATATTTTTCATATTTCATTAAAAAATAAATGTGATTACATCTGTAAGATGATTGTATCGATGCATTAATGTATAAATTAGCAAATATAAATTGGAGTTTTTTCTAAAATCATAAGGTAACCATAACCATCGAGGTCATTAAGTTAATTTCAATGACAAATGACATAATAAACAATTTCTAATTAAAAATATGTACAACAAAAAATATAAAATGTATATTATTTACCTTGGTCAGACATTTTATTTTGCTTATCTTTACTGATTTCTTCTGGTAATAGCCTGTTCATGTTATCAGAATTTTCTTCAACAGATTTTTTTCACTTTGATTTCCTGAAAGAAAATTTCATAAAATGACTGATTTTAAACAAAAAATATTTAAATAATCATACTTTTTGTACACAGATTTCCTCAAAGGACTCATTTATTTCATCACTAGAAGTAATAGTAGTACATGAATCATTTGAATCATCACTGTTTGATTCTATAACATTTTTTAAAACATTTTTACCTTGATCGTCATTATTGGTATTCAATTTTGTTTGTGAATCTAAAGAAAATACATGAAAGAAAATAAGATCAAATTAAACAATAAAAAAAAAGTTGATTAAATTATTTTATATAGGTCTATACTAACCATGTAATTTAGTATTACCCAATGGTAAATCATCTGATTGAATTAAATATGTAGAATTTGATGAAATTTGAATAAATTCAGATGCACATTTTTTTTTATATTTATCATTAATTTTAATACCACAGTCTTCAGAAAGCACATGATCATGATTTTTTATTACATCTTTACCAGTAGTAGTATGAGGAATAGTTTTTTCTTTTTTATCTATATTACCAAAATCAGTTGATTTATCCCATGAGGATTTTTCGGGTGATACTTGTTTATTTAGCTGATTATGTTCAAGCTGATGTGAATTCACTAAAGGTTTTCTTATTTGTAATGTATCAATACATTTAGGACTTTGTCTTAATTCAATAAAATCAACAGGTTCCTTTACACAAGGTGATACCATTTTGTATTTTCCATTTGGAAGCTTTTCCATCCGAGGAATAGTTTTAGACACTCTTTTTTTCCGAACATTTTGTACAACTTTTGAAGTTGATTGTTTCATAGGTAAATCTGATTCGTTTGAAAATAATTTTGATAAAGATTTATTACTTAATTCACTTTTATTAATAATATAATTTACATTATTATGTGAAATCACATAAACATCTGCATTTGATTCATCAGGAGATTCTATATCTAATTCTTGTTCTATATACGAAAAATGTTCATTACAATTATTTTCAGTTTGACCAGATATTAATGAAGAATTAAAATTGTCAATAGATGTATTCATTTTTGGAGTGATATTTATATTTACAGCAGTAGATTTAATGTTATTTTTTAATGGCATCTGTTGATCAAAGATTTTAATCTCATAGTTATCTTCATTATCATCATTTTCTGTCATTTTTTGTTCTGGTATTTTAACTGAAATTGATTCATTTTGATTTTTTTTAATTTCTAAACTTTCACAACTACTGATGTCACTTAAAAAATCACCACTATCATCAATATCATCATTATTATGATCATAATCATAATCATCATCATCATAATCATCATCATCATCATCGTCATCATCATCATCATCCTCAGTACCTAAAATTTGTGATTGATCATCAAATGAGTACTGAGATAAATTAAATGGAGAACTTGTTGCACTCATATTATCACTACTGTTATACATCAAATTATCAACATTTTCAAGTGAATCATCATCATCATCATCTTCATCTATATCTATAATATATTGTATATTTTCATCAGATTGAAAAGAATCATTCTCATCCATGCTTTTTGTATATTTATTGAAAAATCTGAAAATATTTTAATATATTTTATAAAAACACACATATGTGCATTTATTGTAAATAATAAGTAAACAACCTTTACTCCCACATATTTTAATAGTTAAAATTTTATAACACAAAATATACCTTGGTAACTAAGTTAAATTAACTGGTATAACATCGAAAAAAAGGCTTACTCCACAATCCCATATGTCAACTAAATTTCAACATGTGTAAACATTTCAATCCCATTCTAAAGACAAAATTATTGGATAAAAAATGTCCCCTTCAAATAAAAACAAATTTTGAGATAAATTCTTAAATATGCTTGCTCAGTTTGAGGAAAATGAGCATATTGGCATAGGGTTGAAAATAAACAAGATGAGGGAAAATAGACTGAGATGGTTTGGACATATGATGAATTGAGAGAGAAACAAAAGCCAATAAGAATGAAAATTAATGTTGAAGGGAAAAGAAGAAAAAAAAGACTAAAATAGAAATGGTTGGATATGATTGAGAATGATATGAGAGCTGTTTATGTATGTTCTCCCACATCAAAAATAATAAAAGTTTTCGAAGCATAGTATTCAACATATAAATTATCTCAATTACAGATGATAATGTACATAATTTTCCAAATTCAAGACCATATAAAAAGATTAACTAACAATTTTCACAGATAAATTCTCTTTTCTAAAGATTTATTCTATTACAACCAACAAGCATATCTACTACAATGTAAACTAAAATATGGCCAACCTCGTGAAATTTTAAAAAAGTTATATGCTAACAATAAAATTAACATTAATGTTATCAATTTATTATATTCAAATTTAATAAGTAAGAATAAGAATAATTTAATGAGAAAATTGAAATACTAGAGTGAATAGTAGTACTTATTTTAAATAATAATATTTTATAAAAATAATAATTTAAAAGACTCAATTGTCCTGAATACATCTTTTTGTATTAGTTTATCGTTATTATTATTAAAGATAATAATAACAATAATTACAGTAAGAAAATTTTAACAAATTATTATCTTATCTAGTAAACTTTATAAAAATTTTCTTTCAAACAAACCTTCTCTAGACAATTATAATTAAAAAATAAAATAAAATATCAGCCAAATTGGTGGAGCTGTTCTCAAGTGATACTCTATCCCTTTCACGACGAGCCTTAATTTTTGTTTTAATATGTTTTACAACTAGCACACACAATTGTGTATATAAATCTATACTATTTTTAGTCCTGCCTGATTAATTGATTATAGTAATTGGTATTAACGAACCTACACAAATGTGTGTGTTCGTCGTGAAAGGGCTATACAGGGTCCCCACAAGGGGAAGGGGCTGATGGGCTAACCTTGAGTACAGGGGTACGTGGGCCCATTGAAAATTATTTTTAATTTTTAAAATTTTAGTAGAAATACTTATTTTACATTAAATAATTTTATAAAATAACATTATATATATTTAGTTATTTTGATAGTTCAAAATGCAGATTAACCAATGATTACTTAGAAATGAATGGATTGGCTTCAACAATCAATTTTGACAATATCATTACTGAGTTTACTGAGTTCAAAGTCCACAAAATAAAATTTTAACTTAAAAAAATATATTTTTTTTTTCTAATTTAAATAATATTATAATAAAAAAATAAAATAGACATTATTAATGTAGAAATGCTTATGAAGTTTGAATTTGAATGTAATCAATTTTAATTAAATAATTGTATATCTATATTACATTAATCTTGTTTTTAAAACACATAAAAAAAAAAAAAATACGTAAAAATATTCAAAAAGTAATTAATAATAAATAATTATATATGGTTTTATATATTTTATAATGAATTGTAAAAATGTGTTATTTATTAAAATTGAAATGGCTCTCATTCAGTCAATTTTGGTTTTAGAGTCATGGTTAATTGGACAAAATGACTTAAAAAAAATTCAGTTTATCCGAATTTGGTATCAAAAATACCAGTTGTTATTCAAAAAAAAAAAAATAAGTTGCATTGCCCATGAGAGTACCGAGGGTTAAAAATTTTAAATTTATCTGAAAATGTGTATTTATATACCATTAGCTTGTAAAAAAAAAATTTGATTTACTCCAACATAATACACCCGAAAAATTCAATGTTCCCTAAATTGGTGAACACTCGGTACATATATCTTAGTGCACATAACATATGTAGCATGTTTACATCCAATCAAGTGGTGTAGCCAGGATTTTAAAATGGAGGAAGCCAAACTTAAAATTCTATAAAAACATAATCAAAAATTAATAATAAAAATTCATTTTTAGATTAAATTTAATGTGATTTTATTTTATTAATTAAATTTTAATTTATTAACTTCATTTTGATTAATCTAATAGTAAGAGACATTTGCATTTATTATGCAATATTGAGTATTAGCATTAGTAGTAATATAAATTATTAAGTCTTAAGAAAACTTATAATTAAACTTTATTTATTCTAGACCCATCATTATAAATGTTGTTAGTAGTCTTGTTTATAATTTTTATAGATATACCCATGTCATTAAACACCATAAATCATAAAGAATTTATATTTCACTGTACATTAATATTTGCGTGTCGAGTACATTTTAATTTTCTATATCAAATATATTTATAACAATACTAATTAATGAAAATATCACGAGTAAATTAAAACTGAAATTTATTAATTTTTAATTAAATATATATATAAAAAAAAATTCAAACATAAATTAGAACTATATGAATATTCTATAATTAAAAGTAAAATGGTAAATAGTTGGAGTTTAATCCAACCCACTTTTTGATACTTCATTGGCTCTACAAAATGATTCTATTATAGTACTCTCATGTACACTACAATGTGTAGGTATGACACTAATAAAATTTTGGTTTTCTTAAATCATTTAATTTTGAACATAAGTAAACAATGAAACTATGATTATCATTTATAAAACTTTTATTGCTATTAATTTAAATTTTTAAAATATAATACCAAAAATAATTTTAATAAAAATAATTAAAAAAATCAATAAAATAATAATCAATTATTTATGTATGTATCTATTATCTATATAAAGGTTGTAGAAATAATTAAATCAAAATGTATAATATGATAAATGATTTTTTTACATGTCATAATAATTAATTGCTTTATACCTACTTAACTATTAAGTTTTAATATTTAACTGTTAGGAAGTTAAATTCATAAATACAATTAAATAGATACAGATAAATATTTTTATTTTAATGAATTAATAATTAAACCATACTAAAATAGAATTATACCAACATTTTTAAATATTCACCTGTTATATATTCGTATATTATTATAATCCAGTAAATATCTCAACAAAACATTTAAAAAGCATTAAAACAATTTTTATAGGTTTCAAGCACAATTAATATGATTTTTAAATAGTAGTTATTTTTAATATATTGAGATATTAAAATAATAAAGTACCATAAGTTTATTGCAAACAATGAAATAATAAAAATAAAAAAATCACACAAGTACTTCAATGGTTCAATAATTCCACATGAATATTGGCCAGTATGTACTAGAAATATTCTATATATGATAAAAACAGGACCGCAATTGGTAATATGAACGAAAAGTAGGAACACAATTTCATGGAGAAAAAACGACAAATCACGTATTCGAATTGATGCACGAGGATCGTCAAGTTATGGTCATATTGATACAGTATACAAATTTAAAATATAATTCGGAAATTATATCTTCATGATAACTACCAATTAGGTCATGTTTGCCTATGACCTCCATAATTAGAAGATCTCGGATTTTAGAATAAAATACAACTTTCATCTTATATAATAAATATAAATATAAGCCAATTATATATACTTATATATACTATTATGTTTCGAAAAAAAAAAAATTAATTGTTAATCCTACGCGTAAAATCATATTTTTTATTTTGCTATGAGGTTTAAAATACTTAAATCAGGCTCTGGATACCAATACAAAAATTATAAATTATTCTAGGGCTGAACAAAAATATTTTAATTGTTTACTGAAAAAATGGAAGGAAGTTATGATCGACCTGATTGACCACCCATACTATGTAGTATGTTTCTATAGCCGTAACCTTAATTGTATAGTATAATATCCCTTAAAATGTAAGAGCTATTTTCGAATCAAATTGGTCACAAACTATCCTGCTGACTGGATATATAATAAACGTGATTTACACTAATTGGATATATAATAATAATTTATTTTCTCACCTATAATACTTAGAACGTAGATATTTTGTTTACAAATTTATTCATAAAATATTGATTATTTTTACCGTTTTAAAAATGTTTAATGTAGAAAAAACATTTTTTATTTCATTAGATAATAGACTACAAAAGCTCTTGGATCGATGGAGCGTTAGCATACAAAGAACAATACAAAATTAATCACCAAATGCTTCATCCCGCACACTATACACCACGGCTATAGATAATATGGTATATGGTTGCAAATCGACGGTAAAAATGCGAAGCACAAAAGTTATATTGGTTTTCACAGCAGCATACAACGCTCTCTAGTTGATAAATATACTAACTTGGTAAATTAGACATCGATTATTATGGCCCGGTTCACGCTTGCAACATTCGTCCATACCGCAACACAGTACGTATCGTTACTTCGCCGCGTAACTCTAATATCCGTGTGAACGTGAACGCGCAACACCGTCGCGTAACAAAAAATGATACGCGACGGAGTTACACTGCGTCCCGTCAGTTGTTGGTAAATATTGTCCGCATCAAAGGATATTACAAGTGTAGTGGGAACATTTCTCGTTTACGGGACACCCAAAAATTTAGCAATTTTTTTGGGGGACTTAGTCATATTTTGGGTGAAAAAAATCATGGTTAAATTAGAATTTGGTGTAAGAACTTAATTTGAAGTTATAGTAAATTAAAGTTTATAATTTCACACTAGAACTTTTAAATACTTATTTTTTTTTTCAAAATTACATTATAAAATATTGCGCAATGACAGCAGCATCGTTTTTTTTTATCTACGTGGCCGAGTTCGATCCCCGCATAAGTTATAAATAAATTTTGCACTTTTTTTTTTTTGAATGATAATTTTGTATCTGGTTTGATATCTTATCGTAATGAAAATTGTTTGCATTTTTTTTTTTTCGAAAAATCGGAACTTTCATTTTAAAAATGTTAGGACTTCGCTCGTTACGCCTGCCGGCTCCACTCACAAACTCGAGTGCCATTGCGTGGCATTTTTCGGGGGGATGGGGCTTCGCCCCTAGAGGAATTATAGTCTAAACCTAACCTAATTTTTTTACAAACCTTGATACTGTTGTAAATGAGATTATGCTCTGCATGTGAACCTAAAACCTCACTACGCGAGTAAAACCCTAATTCGACATTAAAATTGTTTGTACTTTTTTTGTATTTTTTCTTGTGCATCGAATATCTAGTGCTGTAAAACGGACTATAGGTACTGATATAACTTAATATTAAAATAATTATTATACCGATTCCCCTCAGGGGGGTGTTAAGCAATTAACACTACGGGTGTGGCGAACCCGGGGCCCCGAGCTGTGGACTGAACTTACTTTAGTTAGTTGGTTCATTCCACCCTTACTCTGACCTTAATTGGTTGGAGTAATCAGACCCTCCAAGAGGAGGTTGTCGTAAGGCCAATCACCTTACACGCAAAACAATATGATTACGAAACAACGATTAATATTGCCTCGGAACGTGGAGATTATGGATTTATGTATTGGAACTTGGAATGTGCGATCAATGTATAGGACGGGAACATTGACGACAGTCGTATCGTGTCTTGAGCGATACAGACTGGATATAACAGCAGTTCAAGAAATAAGGTGGGACGGATCTGGTAGTATAAAGTCACAAGGAAATACAATTTTATATAGCGGTGGAGAAAAACACGAAAGAGGAGTAGGCTTTATTATTAAGGACAAATTTTTGCCGAATGTTGTCAAGTTTGAACCAATAAGTGATAGAATCTGCTATATAGAATTTAAATGCAAATGGTTTAACATAGTAATTGTAAATTGTTATGCGCCAACAGAGGATAAAAGCGAAGAAGTAAAGATGCTTTTTACGATGAGCTAGACAGAGTTTGTGATGGGCTATCTTCGGGGAAGCCAAAAATTATCATTGGTGACTTCAATGCGAAAGTCGGAAGAGAAAGGATATACAGACCAACTATTGGAATAAACAGTTTGCATAGTGAGTCCAATGAAAATGGAAACAAATTGATCTCATTTGCAACAGCAAGAAACATGGTCATAAGCAGTACAATGTTTCCGCACAAGAACATCCATAAACAGACCTGGATATCACCCTGTGGAAGGATAAAAAACCAAATAGATCACATAGTTGTTGACAGGAGAATAAGATCAAGCGTTGAAGATGTAAGAAGTATGAAGGGTTGTAGTGCGATATCGGATCACTTCCTGGTAAAGGCAAGGTACAAACTAAAAATTTCAGTGAATTGGCAGAAGAAACAGAGCATCAAAAAAAATTAATAGAGAGCTACTAAATGGAAACCAAGCAAAGGAATATCAGGGAAAATTGAACAAATACCTTTCAAGCGCTGAACATGAAGCAAATATAGAAGAATTATGGGGAAGAATAGAAAAAGCGGTTAAAAGAACCTCAGAAGAAGTTTTGGGTTACGAACCACAGAGAAGGAACAAGCACTGGTTCAATGAAATGTGTAAAAAGACCACGAAAGAAAGGGATAAAGCGAGATTAAAAGTGCTACAGGACCCAAAAGAAGAAAATAAAAGAGAATTAGCCATGAAACAGAGAGAGGTAAAGAAGACAATTAGGATAAACAAGAGAGCATGGGAAAAAGAAAGAGTACAACTCATAGAAAGTAGTAGAAAGAATAATGCTCGAGTCTTCTTTGGGAAAGCGAATGAAGTTAAACATGGGTTTAAACGTAAAACATCAATGGTTAGAGCAGAAAATGGAACGTTATTGACCGATAACGGAAAAATAGCAGATGAGTTCAAAAAAATGTTTAACACACTTTTAAACCAACCTAGTGAAAGGACAATTATAGAAGAACGTGCAACAGTAGAACAAAACATAGAACCACCATCAAGAGCAGAGGTAGAAGCTGGTATTGAAATGCTCAAAAGCGGTAAGGCAGCGGGAGAAGATGAGATAATTTCTGAATGCCTTAAAAAGGGAGGACAACTACTAATAAACCAGCTACATAACTTAACATTACTAAAGTTTGGGAACATGAAGAAATACCAAGACCGTGGCGTACATCTGTTTTATGTCCTATTCTTAAAAAGGGAGACCCCATGAATTGTAAAAATTATAGGGGAATCTCCCTTTTGAACACATCATATAAGATACTGTCTAATATTCTACTTACTAGAATCAAACCCTATTTACGAGAAATTATTGGAGATTACCAGGGAGGGTTTATGACAGGGAAGTCAACCCAGGATCAAATACATGTTATTAAGCAAATGATCGAAAAAAGCCATAAATTTGACAAAGATATACACCTCCTTTTTATAGATTTTAAGGCCGCATATGATATGGTGAATAGAGAGAAACTATGGAGCGCTATGTACCAATTGGGTATACCTGAAAAGTTTGTAAGACTAGTCCGTGCTTGTGTACAAGGATCAAAGTGTAAAGTGAAGTTCGGAGATGCCGTATCGGAGGATTTTGAGGTGGTGACAGGGCTTAGACAAGGTGACGCCTTGTCCCCAGCTCTTTTCAACTTAGCATTGGAATCAGTCGTAAGAGATACCCTTGTAACTGCAAGTGGAATTAAAATTGGAATTGACAAACAACTAATTCTAGCTGCCTATGCAGATGATTTAGTGATAATGGCAGAAAATGAAGAAAATCTAAAGGAGACAACACGAAATTTACTGGAAAACGGAAAGAAAATAGGATTAATTATAAATGAGGATAAGACAAAATATATGGTAGTAACTAGGAATAACCATAGAGGGGGACACCTGGATATTGGGGAATATAAGTTCGAAAAAGTAGATGATTTTAAATACATAGGAGTGGACATCAACAAGGATGCAAATAGCCACGAGGAAATAAAGATTAGATTAGCAGCGGCAAACAGATGTTATTTTGGATTGGTCCCTCTATTTAAATCAAAGATATTATCATGGAAGACAAAAATAACCCTTTATAAAGTACTAGTAAGACCTATAGCTTTGTATGCATGTGGGACGTGGGCCACTACAAAATCGGATGAACTAAAATTGGCCACCTTCGAGCGGAAGATATTAAGGAGAATCTATGGTCCAAAAAAAATAACGAAGGAGAATACAAAATAAGAACAAATCAGGAGATCCAAGACCTGTACGGAGAACCGAATATTAACGGAATTTTAAAAAGTAGTAGGCTGAGCTGGGCCGGGCACGTGTGGAGATCGGAGGGGCCAATTGGACAGGCTACGAAATGGAAGCCAAATACAAAAAGGCCTAGAGGACGTCCTCGACAAAGATGGAAGGATAGAGTGGTCAAGGACTTGAGGGAACTTGGAATAGAGGATGGGGAAGAGCTGGCAAGAAACCGAGACAGGTGGAGGCAAGTGGTTGTTGCGGCAATGGGCCTGAATGGCCTGTAAACGCCTAAGAAGAAGAAGAAAGATTATACCGATTACAAAAAAAAAAAAAGTGGAAAAAAATGCATTAAATATATTTTCCTTATTAAGGTGTATTGAATTCTCACTTAATAGTGGTCCCGTGTTACCAATTGCACCACATCACTGAAGTGGAAAATGGAAAAAATAGATTATTTAATCAAAACTATCAAACTTCAATAGGCTGTTCCAAAATAATCGTTTGCGCCAATATCGCAACACCAATACAACAATAGCGCGTAACGCTTTAAGAAACGATGTGTTACATGCGAATAATGCAAGTGTGGTCTCGGCTTTAGATATTAGCAGGTGTTTGATTACAAATTCAAGAAGTAACCAATTATAACTTTAATATTTTTCCATTAACTATGCTGTCGCATTATCATAGTTAAATACATAATAAACATTTCTGAGAGTATTTCACTTTTATGCTCTTTACAATTCTATGTTATTTATTTATTTATTTATTATTAACAATACGGGCTGAGCCCAATTTACATAATATGATAACACTGATAACACTAATTAAATTTTATATATGATAGCAATCATAAAAATAGTGACTATTACTAATAAACTAATTTAAAAATATGAAAACCAAAAAAAAAATAAATAAAAAATATAACAATGCTACAGAAATGATGGATCATTATTTGCAATACGCATCATTCTAAGAATTGGCTGGTTCTCAGAATAGTTGGTGTTGCATTTAGGAATAAAAAATGGATAGATTTGACGGACAGAAGAGCAAGGGACTTTAAAGTTAATCATGGAAAGTAGTATGTTATAAATATGTTATGAAATATTATGATAATTTTATAGCAAATAGATTTGTGTTTCTTCGAATATCGTAGGAGAATTTGCATATCTCTCAAAACTTAACTCAAATTATTGTATAATTAAGTAAACAAGATGATTAGGGAGAGTTAGATAACCTCTTGTTTTTATATACACAAATTCATATTATTTATATGCATTTGCATGTTTTTTCAAAACAGTCCAAAAAAATAGCTACAAGTTTGACTTATGGTCAATAGATCCAAAATACAGTTTTATTTTGCTCAATTTTGCATATTTTGACATGTTCTGTATTTTATGATTTTTTATTGCATATATACGGTTTTAAAATGCATAATATGTAATATTTTGCGTATATTAATTAAAATAAACTATTTGTAGTTATATAATCCGTGTTATTTGATGATATCGTTTTCTTATAATATCCGAGACCTAACGGGACAAGTAAAAAAGTACAAGTAACAATAATTTGTTATTTCATGAATCATACATGAATAGTCGTGTTTGTTTCTTCGTTTATCGTGATCCGAATGTGCGTAATTTTCATTAAATTAAATTTATTTAAACTTAAAATGCCGAAAATCAGTACAAATACGTCTAGTAGGCTAAACAAATTTGTTGCTGAATATAAAGATATTTTTTCTGCAGATGGCTTAGTTTTGTTAGTTTACTTTTTGGCATATTTTTTTAAAACTTTTAAGGGCATTTTCTTACAAAATAAGACCATATATGCATATTTCTGAGATTTTCAGAGCATATAAATCCGTGCACTAATAATAACTATATTCAAATAAATCGAATAAAAAGTATTCGAATACACAGAATAAAAACTATTCGAATACAAAGAATAAGGTGTTCCAGATTTTTTACTAGTTGCAATTTTTTTCAGTTCTTGGCAATATGAACTTCTTAAATTTTTAAATTTACTTATAACGTGATCAGGTCCAAAACCTTAAAAATGAAATTATTATTTTCTTTAGTTGAACTAGATGTATCGAGTAAATACAGACATAATCAAATAAAAATAACAAACCTTCAATATTCATGCCTAATACAATTCTTTTCTTAGCTTCGCCTCTAGCATCTCTATTTCTGTAAGATTGTAATTTAGTGTTTCATAAAACTTCTTCTTTTTCATAATAGTCTATAAATTGCATTGTTTGTTCATCATTCATTTTCATAACATTTTTATTTACACTCATGTTGCTGATAAAATAATTAAATAATAAATGTATTATAATTAATAACTTTCAATTGAGTAAAATAATTAGTAATAATAATAATTTTAGTTATTACAAAAAGTTATTACAAGTATTTTTAGTCAAAATGTTATAAAAAAAATATACATAATCAGACAAACAGTACACCACGATTGAGCTTTCACGACTGAAATATCTAACATGGTTTAATATTGCACGAGCCAGTCGTGACAGGTTCGTGGACGATAATATCACGATCGTGAAGTACGAATTGTCTGTTTACACAAACCGTGAACCACGCTTTTAAAGACTACGATCGTGATTCACGTCTCGTGTAAACCCGCCTTAAAAACCATACGAAATACCCAATAAAAATTATTCGAATAGACTGTCCTTTAACGGCAGTTGCACTCCTAAGTCGAAACGGTGGAACGGTATTGAGTCACATACTCACCTAATAATAGTTTATTTTGATTTGTATTTTGTAAATAGCGGCACAGGTTTCTAAGAAATAAGATACCTTTTTAGTTACAACTACAATCTTATAACACCACCATTTGATGTATCTATTAATTAACCATTGGACTTATTAAATATTTTATGTCCCATATACAAAAAGGGTGATCCCAAACGTAAACAACATTCTCAGTGTCGCGACAAATTTTCGGAAACCCCCAGCATTAAGACATATCCATGTTAAAAATAGCAATCTTTAACAATGGTGTTTTTCATTTTAGGGGAGAGGGATCGTCCCCCATAAATATGCCCCTGGCACACAAGGTTTAACAATAGAAGAGAGCGTTGATAGAAAAAGTTGGAAAAAAGTAGTAGAGGCAGCGAAGTTCTTCAAGGACCGTAAAAGCTATGGAAGAAGTAGATTGTTTTTATAAATTAAATATTTGAAATTATATCACTTCTACGATTTACATTGTTTTTTATTAATCAAATAATGACAGTAAATCAATTAACGTTTATATGTTTATATTTATAATGATCACACAGGTTATATAAAAAAAAAGCTATATAGGTACATCCAAGGCCGGATTAAGCAACTATTGGTCCCCGGGGCTGAAATTTTATATTGCCCCATTTAACAAAACATGCTTTACAAAGCCACTCGCTACACTCGCAGAACGATACATTTTTTTAAACTATTTCACAAATTGACAATGCATTATAAAATTATAAAATTAATAGGTATATAAAATGTCTATAAAATTACTAATTTTGGTATGATAAAAATGTGTTTCGGCTTAAAATTGTTTGGGCTCCTCTCACTTGGGTACTTGAGTGGGCCCCGGGGTTACCACCCCGGCTAGACCCCTCCTTAATCCGGCTTTAGGTACAACTGTAAATGATCAAAATTTAAAATATTCAATTTTATAGAATACAATCATTTCTGTTAAGTATAATTTATAAATATTAAAGTGATACAACCTCAAGTTGTCTAAGAATACTTGGTCAACAAATTTTATCTAATTTTTACAATTTGGATTAGTTGCTTACTTGCTTACATATCTGTCCTTGTGTGTTTAATGTCTAAAATTGGGTATTAGATGAAATATTATATTAGGTAAAAATGTGATAAAAAAGATAGATAAAATTATAGACCTATTTCTGGCTTAGTTCTGATAGGGAAACTGTTCAAAAAAATAGTTCTTAAAAAGATTATAAAACAATAATAACAATGTTGTTAATTCTTGACTAAAGACGTTATTCTTATCAGTTATCATATTAGTGATTAGATATCTCAAAATAAACTAAACATTATGAAGCTAATTTCAAATTTTACCGAATAATTCTGAAGTCGGTAACTATTGAATAATTCGAAACTATTGAATATTCTGAATAGTTTCGAATAATTCGGAATTACCGATTATTTGATAAAATTATCGAATAGTTCGAACATGGGTGGCCCGGGGGGAAGAGGGGGCATTTCCCCCCCCTGAAATTCAATAGAATATTGAATATTTTAGTTTTATTTTGATTTATCAACATTTTATCGATATTTTTACTTTAGTGTGTGCCGTGTGGTGTTGTTGATCGTAATAAAAATATATTATAAGGCGTACCTACAAAATAATGCGTATTACATTAATCGCGCAAAATTAAATACGTTTCATTTCTGTGAATTGATATTAATCGCCTAGTGTGTAAACCACTTATGACGATCGACGCACCACGCACACATAGCTTCAGTTTTTATTTAACTAATTTTTTAGGTTGTAAGGAATATATTTTTAATGTTCTTTTTGGTGTTGAATTTCATATAATTCTAACACAATTTGTAGTTTACAAGGAATAAACTTTTTTTAATGTATTTTTTTTTGTGTTTGATTTTTTTATGCCCCCCCCCTGATAAATTTCCTGCGGGCGCCCATGAGTTCGAATGTCCCAGACTATCGAATTGTTCGATAGTATTATATGATAGTGCCCATCGCTATTTATGTTATTATCGTTTGTAATTATAGCCTAACCGTGGCTGTACACTATATTTTTTTTTCTGTCGGTAGGTTGCGCTTTAAACTGCTCATATTAGTCACTATAAGTCACTATATAGCAGTGTTGCCAGATGGTACGATCTTGATGGGGAAATACGATCTTTTAAGCCTCTATACGATCCCCCACCAGAACCATTGATGGAGTAGGAAATATACGATCTTTATGGAATAATTTAAAAGTAAACAATGAAAATACCAATGTACCTATTTATAAATATTTTTAATATTTTTATTTTTCGAATTTAATATTTATAAAGTATAGTTATCAGTGCTGTATTACATTTTCACGTGTGTGGTTTTACAGTGTTATATTTTCAATTTTACATTTTTTCAGTACTCAGTACACCTAAATATTTAGTATAATAATTTAGTCGAGAATTGTGATTATTACTTTGACTTATTCATCAAGTTGTAATAATGAATAGTAAAAATGAAGACGATCCAGAAAGAGCAAGGACATCTGAAAGCGTCAAACGTCGCAGAGGGGAAAATAGCAAAAAGCTTGAGCACAAAAAACAAAAATTTAGAAGTGTGTGGTTACACGATTCTAAATTTTCTAATTGGTTGATTCCGGTGCCAAATAATCAATTGATGGCAAAGTGAAAATTGTGTTCGTCAGAAATGACTGCTGAATTGTCGGTAATAAAAAAGCATTCTACCACAAAAATACACACAAGTAATTCACGTTTCATCGGAGTCAACCTCTTATGAAAGGCTTTGTAAATAATCAAGCAAAATTGAATGAACTTCAGAAAATAAAGAAAGCTGAATTACTACTATGTGGTGTTTTAAGTGAACACAACTTATCCTTTAATGTTATAGACCACATAACTGCAATATGTAAGGTAGCGTTTGACGATTCAAAAATTGCAAGTGGAATAAATCTTGGTCGTACCAAAGCCACATCCATAGTTAAAAATGTTATTGGCAAAAACCATAGTGAGGAAATAGCCAATATTCTAAAATCGACCTATTTTAGTGTCATCATAGATGAAAGCACAGATGTTTGGTGTGTAAAAACATGTATATGAGTGAATTTTTTTGATGTATCTAATGATAAGTTTTAAACCAAGTTTTTCAAACTTATACAACTATTAAGTGATTCTAAAAGTGCAAATGAAGGTGCAACTGCTGAAAAGATATTTGATGAACTTCTTAAAGCTTTTAACGAATCAGAAATTCCATTGGATAACATAATTGGTAAGTTAAAAATGAAAATATTTTTTATATAATTCAATACACTTTTAAGATTGAAAATTAAAATTTTTATTAATTTAAATATATTGAAATAGATATTTTATAATTTTAAAAATAAATATGTATCTAACTTATTTAACGATTATTTGTTTTGAATAGGATTTGCATCTGATGGTTGTAACTCTATGATGGGTGCATGGAATTCAGTTTCATCAAGGTTTAAAGAACATATGCCAGGTAAATAAATAAATAATTTATATTATAATTTACATAGGTAATTTTTTTTGTCAAATAAATATAGGTGTGTATATACAGAAATGCATATGTCATTCCTGGCACCTATGTTCGAGTTCAGCTTGCAAAACACTACCAAGGGCATGTGAAGACTTGGCTCGAGATATTTTCAACTATTTCAAGTCTAGCAGCAAAAGAATAAGTCACTTCAGAGGATTTCAAGACTTTTGCAATGTTTCTCCATATCAAATTTAACATCATCTCAGACACGTTGGTTGTCATTGTCTATGGTGGTAAATAGAATTGTAGAACAGTTTAATCCGTTAAAACTTTATTTTTCTGCTAACTGGCAATTAGATAGGTTAAAATCTACTGAAGACATTTTTAAATTCTTACATGATTCTTCTATCTTTATTTATCTGAAATTTCTACAGTGGGTCTTACCAAAATTTGTAAATCTAAATAAATTTTACCAAAGTGATCGACCGGTTTTATGTACACTTCATAACAAAATGAGTGAATTATACAAAGATTTATTGTACTGTTATATGAGACCATATAACAACCCTACCTTAATTAACCCTTCAAATAATGCTTTTTTTCTACTTATAAAAGATATATACTTGGGAGTTGAAGTTTCTAATTTATTAAATAAACCAGAAATATTTCAAAATGAAGTTATGGTAGAAGATATAAAAAAAAGATGTAGGGATTTTTTTATAGTTGTCGCCAAATCAAAATGACGTTTGACTTCGATAATCCGGTACTTAAATCTTTAGATGATTTAAACCCCAAAAAAGTTTTTAGTAATAATCGTTCAAACTCAATCATATCATTTATTCAATTATTTCCTAGATTAATTAAGAAGTATAATATTCAGAAAATTGATGATGGTTGGCGAAAATTGAATACTGTTGAATTAGAACCTGAATATATTATTAAACTTAAAACACTTAATTTTGAAGAGTTTTGGGTAAATCTTAAAAATAAAGAAGTTGATAATGAATATCCATTTCGTGTTTTATCCAATTTTCTTCTAACTGTTTTATCTTTGAGACAATCAAACGTTTCTTGTGAACGTATGTTTTCCAAAATAAATTTAATAAAAACAAAACAATGTAACCGTTTACAGACACCTACATTGAATGGTCTTCTTATGGCTAGTCAATGTATGCAAGAAACTACTTGTTGTAAATTTGAACCTTCTCAAAATATATATAATTTAATGACAAGTAGCAATTTATATAGTAATTTGAATAGTAAAGATAATGACGATGATGAGATAGTTTTTATGGACGTCTGATTTTTAAAATGCTTGGTATGCATTATTATAAGTGATGTTTTGTTTATATATATAATTATATCTATGGTTAAGGATATTTAAAAGTTGTTAATATTTCATTTGTTTATTTATATTATTAATTTGCGTTGAAGTTACCAATGTTTATTTTGTTTAATTTTTTTGTTTTGTATTTATAATTAATTATGATAATATAATTTTGTATTTTATTTGAAAATAATTATGTTGTTCACTTGTCTTGTTCGACGTTCTTATTGAATATGTTATTTACTTATTTTGTAATAAAAATTGAAATATAGATAAGGGTTATCTTAGAGTTTTTCTTATTATCACGGTTTGATAGCGAGGACCGCTATCTTGATAGGTCCGAGTCAAATTTTTTATACGATCTTTTCGTTGAAAGTACGATCATTTTGAAGCTCCAATACGACCTTCTCCTTTTGAAATACTGGCAACACTGCTGTATAAACTTTACCAATCTGGTTCGTCTCTTCATTGTGTTCAGCATAGGTCAGTTTCACAATCATATTATCTATAGCTGTGCTAAAAACTATACGTGTTATACACTAACATTTCGAATGAACTTGAAACATTAGTTTCGAATCAACTTGAAACTTAAAATGGAGGTAATACAACACAGGCTACTACAACAGGTTACGCCAATTTTTTTACATGGTAGTTCAAGGAATTCAACGTTCAAAGCCATACAAATTTTGTTTATAGCATAGAAACAAAAGAGTATATTAATAGGAACTATATATCTGACAGGTATTACACAGTTTTAAGCACTACACAAATGTATAGTGTTTGAATGTTGATAACTAATGATTTTACAATTTCATCGATGTATTACGATCTCTACATTTTTAGATTAGGTACTTAATATGTAATTGGTGTTCAATATGCTATATTTATAGACAATAACCACAGATTTAGCATTAATAAGTAATAGACCATTATTAATTATTTATACAATTATATAATAATTGGTTAATTTAACTTTTCTTGCTATTTTAAAACTAAAGTAGCCTGTGTAAAAGCTCTAATATGCATTAAATATTTGTATATTCATAGGCGGAGATGAGAAGGGAACCACGGGGACTTAGATCCTCCAAAAAATAAATATTTTAAGTCAAAGCCCCCTTAAAAATATTAAACGAACAATATCGTACTTTTGTACAGTTTGAAGAATTTTTATCATTATTGTATATTCTTATATCCATAATTATATAAGTGTACCTAGTACATTACTTACATACTATTATTACTATTTACCAATTCATTATTTACGGTAATATACCGAACAATTAAGTCACAATTCACGGTGATACCCGATTGAGCACGGTAGAAAAAAAATATTGTGCAACACGTTGTCAGATTGAAAACTATTAGGCTGGCAACACACTAGCGTTATTTTACCGCGCGACATTTTTACCGCGCCATAATTTTACTGCACGTTTTGTTAAAGTACATTAAAATGAATAGAGCACAACATATGAGGGTTGTGCAGTAAAATTATGGCGCGATACGCAGTGGCGTATCCAGAATTTTTTTTTGGGGGGTTATAAAAAATGGAACATTAAATTTTTTTTGAATTTTGTGTGTTTTTATTATAATCAATAAACAATATACATACACTAAATATTTTTTGGGGGGCTTATAACCCCCTAACCCCCCCCTCCTGTATACGCCACTGATCTTGAGTACTCTGAATTTTAAAACGCTGACAATCTACTTAAATACTTATTGAAAGTTGGAAATAAGTTTAATAATAATAGGGGAAAAAAATTTAAATGTTTACCTTTTTCATGAAAATTGTACGAGTGCTATTTTTAAAAAAAAAAAATATATGTAATTATAATATATGATTAAAATCCAATTTAATTAAAGATTTTTAATTATAAATAATTATATTCAAATGTATTTCATTTTGTAATAATAATATGAACGCACCGAGCTCTATACACTAACAATATAAAAAATGCGAAAAAAAAGTTGTTTGTCGTTTTTCTATTGGAGAGTTATTTCTTTTAAGAAACCTGAGCTGTAAAAATTTTAATTTATGAAATAATCATTAAAAATTTAAAATTGAATTACATAATTATTATAAAAAATCTTGCATGCACAGTAATACGGTGCACCGAATAATATTCTATGGTACAAAGCGGCAACGTCGCATCCATTTTCGTGCTCAATCGTGTGGTTTATGGGTTCTTTTTTGGTTTCTATTGTTTGATTGTAACCGTGCTTAATGGGGTTTCAGCCACAATTCACAACATAAAATAATATTATTTAATATTTATATACCTAATATTGTACATATTTTGTTGGAGTTGTGGGGGCAACACCTCCACGGGTGTGTTTTGCATCAAATATTTGAGCCCTACTTAATATTTTACAAGATCTCCGCCTATGCCTATACGATTGAGGTATCGGTGCGTTACACCCCCTGCACTCTCGTTGAATTTGACACTGTCTACGGGTCTCTGTAATTTTGCGAATCTTGCTTTTGGAATGCAGTTTTAAATCATTTTATTGAGCTCCCCTACTTAATTTTCCCAATTCGAGAACTACTAAATTACGAATTAAAATGTTGGTAGAAATAAAGAAGCTGTGCGACCTAAATTATCTTCACACTATTTTCTAATTATATCATGCACATAATTGTTCTCAAACAAACCTAAACATTTTCAACAGAAATAATAAATACACACATAAACCATGAGTATAATTTAGAATATATTAAATTATTATTTAAAATTTTTATTTTTTTTAAACATAATTTTTATATTTAATTTTTAAATCATTATTTTTTTTACGATTCTAACGCCCTTGCACTAAGAAAATTATTTTATAACATTTAAAAAAAGGCCTAGGGGGAATCTGACCGCCACATCCTTCCTTGTATACACCACTGGTTTTCTTAATATATCAAATGTTATATACAAAGTATGTTACTCAATAATGTGTTTGTTTTGTCCCGGTTTCGCCTTATAAATTTATGGCAACCCTAAACATATCGGACCCACCCACGATTAAAAATAAATATTATAGTATTATATTACTATTTTTATTTGTAGACCCACCTAAACTAATTAGTTATAGTAACTATAGAAGTACCATAGACTTATTAACTAAATTAATTAAATTATTAGTTAATAGGTCTATGATTAGTATAAATTAAGCACATTTTGTTTCCAAAGACAATGTAAATAAAAAGGTTTCATTTTTATAATGAAATTTGTGTTGTTTCACCTGCTGACACTGCAAATTATTATCTCATTTGTGTCTTTTGATCCAGTGTCCCATTGATAATGTTTTTCCTTTGAGTTTAAAATAAAAAAAATCAGGACACTCTTATTGTTACATTTTATGTGCACATTTTTAGTAAAATCTTAATGATGTTTTATGAATTTGGTATACATGGATATTTGATATTTGGTTGAAAATGGTGAAGAAAATATTATGCGACTACTGTAATATAACGTTTGCAGACAATTTATCAAGTCGAAATCTACATTTGAATAGCAACGCTCACAACAAGAACAGAAAAAATTATTATTCATTATATAAAGGTACGTAAAAATTAGAAAATTATTATGAATGCAAATGTTATATATGTTAAAGTATAATTTCAGACGCTATAACATTATTTCTTGAAGAACGTCAAAAGCAACCGTGTCGTAGATTCAGAACTACTGGACAGTGTCAGTACGGTTCTAATTGTAATTATTCTCATTACACCTTTGAACAACTAATTCATCTTATCAATCAAGGTAATTTTATTATACTTATTTATGTTATTATTATTGGTATGATAAAGCATGGTTTTTAAATTAATTATCAATTACAATGGATGAAGCCTATTTATAATACTTGCATAATAATAAAATACATTGCTATTGGCAGTGACGGTGCTAGAGTTTGCAAGGCCCTGGGCAAAATAAATGTTGGGTCTTATAATTTATATTAATAAAATATTTTAAGTTCAGTTAAATCAAAACCGAGGAACCTTAATTATAATATAAGGCGCGGGGCCCTGGGCAACTGCCCCTATTGCCCACCCCCTTTCTCCGTCCCTGTCTATAGGTATGTAGAAGGTGTCAGTAAAACAGTAAATATTAGCATATTAAATCACTTATTTGTCCTTATTTGTATATATGCATATATGTGTATGTATGTGTATGTATTTATATTATTTTAAAAATTAACTTGTTTAATAATGATAAACTATTATCATTTTTATTTTTATTTTTTTATTGAAATTTTAACTTAACTATTGTCATATTTAGATTATTTAGAATGAAATTATTTTATCAATTATTATGATATTGTGGTGATTTAAAATATTCTCTTCTCTCAAAGATTATATTTTACTTCTGCAGAATATACACATGTAAAAAAGATAATTGGATAAATCTTAAATCAGCATTTTCCAATCTATGGGTCATGACCCTAAATTAGGTCGTAAAATATTTTTGATGAGATGCTGTTTGTAAACTAATGACAAGAACAATATTTAAGTTATATTTATATTTATATTATATTTATCATAATTAAGTAGTATGTATTAAAGTATATGATACAATTCCTTACAATAAAATTATTAGTTATGTTATTATAGCAAAGCATATTGGTTTTTTTTTTTTTAAGGGTCGTCTACTCAATACAAAGGATATTTATAGGCTGCCTTAACATTAATGTTAGGAAATACTATCTTAAATTAGTTTTTTTTTTAAATTTTGATTAAATAGAAAGATTCTCTATATTTTCATTTTGTTGGATCATTATCAACATAATAATTGTTCTTTATCTGAATTAGTCAAAGATTTTTTTTAAAGCTTTTCTCAGTGCTCTCTAATTTGTTAGTGCAATTGAAATATAATTTTAATGATTTTATTTTATTATTTTTATGTTTAAATTAATTATATTATTTGTATTATTAAAGTTATTTTAAAATGTTGGTAATTTGTTTTTTATAACAGTATTTGGATATGTAGTTCAATTTATTTTATTTTACACTATTAAGGTCTTCTTTGCAATCAAAGTTAATTTTGTTATTATATGTTATTTGCGTATGTGACATTAAAAAGCAGTCTAATTTCATAGAAATAATTAATTGATCTATCATTTGTTTTGTATACATTGTCAAAAGTTTATTGTTAATCAACATTAATGTGTATACAAATAATTATAATTATAAAAATATATTTATTAATCATTTTTACAAATCATTTTTTTTTTAACGTAATTATTTACATAATGACAATTCACGAAATATGAGTTATATCTAAAAAAAATATATTTTAAATCTATTTATTTAAATAGTTTTAATAATTGAATCCTATTATTTCAAATTTTTAGCTGTTATTTATCTATACTTAATTTGATGAAAAATGGAAATACTTCTGATATGTATGTACTTGTAAAATTTTATAGTTTTTTTACATGACAAAATAATAATATTAAATTTTTAATTTAATATTTAAAATGATTATTTTTTGGACTAAATATAGTTTGTAGTATTGAGTTATAGTATTTTTTTAAAATAAATTAATTATATTTTAATTTCATTTACTTTATATTTACTATTTTTTCAATTAAATATGTTAAACTGTTATAATTTGTATAGCATTGTACAAAAAAAAAAAAAAATAATTTAAGTATTTTTTGTTCTAAAATATGATACACCATTATATTTAAGATGTATTTATTTTTATAGGAACTTATTATATATTTATAAAAAATATATTTAGAATTTTTTTTTATCATATGTAAAAAAAATAATTCTACATTTCTTCATAATAGTACTGAGTTTTCTATTTGATCAAATTACATTTTTTTTCTTTAAGTGATCTGTAACATTAGAATTAAAATGGTTGTATTTTTTAATATTTATTTATTATTTTATACATTTTGTATTAACTCGAATAATAAAATTGAATAAATAATTACCATATATTTTTATTATCACCTATTCTTAATATGATTTCCAATAAAAATTAAATTATTTTTATTTGCAATTATAATGTATCAATATAGTATACTTTTGCATTGGATAGGGTTTTGAATTTTTTTATTATTCTATGTATTTAACTAAAATCCCTGTATAAAAATTTAAACATAATTATAACTAAAAGGAAATAAATAATGAACCACCTACTTTTTTTTTTTTTAATTGGTGATATACCTGCTACCTGGGTCTGTTATTAATAATTTATTAATGAAAACATCACAGTACAATTTTGGGTTGACTATAGAACAGTCCTTCATGGTCAGTCCCTTATAAATATTTCTTACTATGATCCATTGATGGGTTGGAATGCTTCCATTAGAAGAAGGATGCGTTTGATTAGATACCCATCTCCCACTGGAAGCTATTCTCTGCCTAGACTGTCTCTTGTGTTTCGCATTCTCCTTTGTGACTATCACATCTGCCATAAAGTGGTTAACCTAAGCCCAGTTGAATGAGTTCTCTATCACTAAGGGGATCAATTTACCCAGGTCGAGGCATTGCCTGTTACTGTCAAACATTTTACATTTTATTATTTGCTGATATGAATAATTTAAAATAGTATTGTTTATATTATAATAATTTTCAGATTCAAATTTGTCTTTTCTCAATTTGTTTAACATTTAATGTTCCAGAACACCAACAAAAAATTTTCAGAGAAGTGGAGAAAGTAAATGCTATTCCGTCAATTGAGTCGTGGTTACTAAAATATCAACAAAAATTATACATCAAGAGTATAGATATTGAAACTAATATTCAAAATATTCAGTTGAATCATCAATTAAGAAATTTACCGTCCTTAATGCCAGTAGTTAATGTTGATCAACTTAAAACTATTACATTAAACACTTGGCCGTGAGTGAAGTTTTTAATTTTTTTGAGCCACATATATATTAGTTAATGTTTATTATTATTTAATTACTCAGGACTATCCAAGGATGACCTCTATAGTTCATCAAAAAAATGGAACAGACTTAAATAATTCAATATCGTCATCAACATTGAACACTAATTCCAATATGATCTTCTATAAGTCTGAGTTTCATGAGCAGTCTGATAATAAAAATGCTCTACCAAACAATCCAGTTCAAGACTGTTTGACTGATATTCCTAAACTAAATATTTCTATAAGTAATGTTGTAACGAACTTCAGTGTCAAGTCCCATTTAAACCTTCGATATTTAGCTCTTAATGGTAGCAATATAGAATATAGGCGTGAAAATGGAATGTTAACAATGAAACTACGTAAACCAAATGCTACAGCAACTATTTGGTCAAGTGGAAAAATTGCCTGTACAGGTTCTACATCCGAAATACATGCTAAAATTGCTTCTAGACGTTTTGCTAGAATAATTCAGAAACTTGGTTATCACAATGCTAAATTTAGCAGTTATAGAATCGTCAATGTTCTTGGATCATGTTCACTGCCTTTTCCGATTAAAGTCATACAGTTTTCGGAAAAGTATAAAACAATTGCTCAGTATGAACCCGAGTTACATCCTGGTGTTACTTTTAAGATCAAAGAATTAAAAGCTACATTAAAAATATTTTCTACGGGTAGTATTACAGTAACTGCTCCAAGTGTAGGAAATGTTAATCAAGCAATCGAGCAAATTTATCCCATGGTGTATCCATTTCGTCGTGAGAAGACAGCAGAAGATGAAAGAGTAATACGTAAATTAATGACAAAAAAGAGAAATTTCACTGAAATTGATGAAAATGTAACTATGTATAACTCGGAAAACAGTGTAACAAAACGAAGTTGTGATGGATTAGCCATTGGAATAGTAAAAGAAAACAATTTAGAAAATATTATTAAACAGGAATATGAAGATGATCTCTGAAATATATTTCAGTTACCTTACTGATTCATTTACAGTTAGCATTGCAGCAGTTTTTATAAACTTATGTAAAAGTTCTTAAAATATGAAAAAAAAAACTATTAATATTTTAATATGATCATTATAATAAATGTACAAAAATTAATTTTTTTTTAGTGTTTTACTTTAGGTGTAAGTTAATAAATCTAGATAACTAGTCTGTGTTTTACAAATTGTACATGAATACATGTAATATTTATATAATTTTTTTTGTGTGTTAATGTTCCTTGTTAGTTACAAAAATAATATTGCTCTTAAGCTTTTTCCTCATATTACTATTATTATTTTTTTTTTTGTTCCATTAGTTATAAAAACATTTTTATGAATTTTCTCATGAATTTTAGTATGAACAGCAGTTATAAAAGCAATATTAATAGATTTTAATATTAATTCTTTTGTAAATGAGTAAATATGAAAAAAATATTGCTTTTATATTAATGGTGCATTGGTTATTATTTCGCCTAAATAATTTGTTCTTGGGGAAATTAACAAAGTAATTTCTTTATCATATTATGTTTTCGTACATATGTGTATTAGTTATGATTATTTTTAGTTGATAAATAAATAATTATAGGTTTTATTTTGCTCTGCTTATTAAAATAATAAAATAAATACTCGTGATCTATTAACATATTTTATTTTATTTTAATTCATATCCTGATTCTCATTATAAATAAGTCATATTGGTATTGTCATAATAAATAAGTTTATTTTGATATGAATTTTATGAATATTTGATTCGAATGGTGGGTGGTGAAGAGGAGTTCTGCATGCAAGCAACATATTCAGTATGTCCCATAAGTCCTGTATCACCCTTAATATCTCCACGGGAAATCAATATATTTAAACTCGATTTTTTTTTTTTATAATACTCAGTATGGAAATTCTGATTGAATGGCATAAAATTCAATTTTTTTCTTTTAAAAAAATTCAAAAATTCAAAAAAAATTTTTTTATGCATTTAATAATTTTCAATTTCAATCCAATACTTTGGTCACCTAGGTGGCCCGATTTAACTCCAATGGATTTTTTTTCACGGGTTTATTTGAAAAATCTTGTATTCATCGTGTTCATTGCCTGATCTCTGTGACCAAATTGAATAAAATATTCAAAATATTTTACCTGAGACATTAGAAAATGCTTGGGTTCAAAAACCAGCTCTATATTACAAATAATGGAGGACACTTCGAAAATTTATAAAAAAAATTTAACGCATTATTTTTGTTTTTATGTAATAACATTTTTTTCTATTTACAATCAAGTTTAAAAATACTATATGAATTTTAATTTTAATGTTTCCTAAAAGCTTCACTAATAATTAGATATTTACAGATTGTCATAAAAAATCAGCGTTCCAATCGAGGTTGATTAAATCGAGCAATTCATGTTTTGATGGGTAACAACTATTATTACAATTATTCAAAAACATAACTTGCCCTAACTTGATCAATTTTTATTCAATTTTAATATTTTATTGTATTGAACTGTTTTAAAATATATGCTTAAGAAAATGGCTATCTTAAAAATTGAAAATTCTTAAATACATAACATTTTTTTTTTATTTTTGAATTTTTTTTAAAAAAAAAAAATTAATTTTATGCCATTCAAGCAGAATTTCCATACCAAGTATTGTAAAACAAACCGCGTTTAAATATAATGATTTCCTGTGGAGATATTAAGGGTGATACGGGACTTAAGGGTAAGCACTTAAACTGTATAGGTAGGTAATGTAATTATTAATAGATATGTCTCTTAAATAATTTAATTTAAAATATATATACTTATAGACTGGTCATCACCGTAATTGGTATTTTCAACTTACTCATGAACTATACATTCTTATACTTTATTGTTTTCATAGTTTGTACGAGGGTAGCAGTGCTGCCAAATGGTGCGATCTATGGTGGGGGAATACGATATTTTAGAGACAAGAATCAAACCCTTTGATGGGTCATAAAGAATATGATCTTTTAGTAGTTAAGAGTATGAAGCATACCATTCACACACGCATAAAAAAAAGATAAAACATTTCAATTACTATCGGACTCTTTTCGTGCATAGAAGATTTGGATGATGATGAATAAGAAGAAAAAAAAACATGGTAAAAAATGGCTGCTGGAAAGAGGATATTTTTCTCATAACATTTTATTGCGAGACTTATAATCAAATGAGCCGGCTTATTTTAAAAACTATCTTAGGATGGAAAATAATTTATTCTATAGTTTATTAAATTTAGTTAGATCTTATATTGAAAAACAAAATACGGTTATGCACGAATCTATTTCCATTGAAGAGCGTTTAGTTGCTACTCTTAGGTTTTTAGTAACTGGATGCAGTTGTAAAGATTTGAAACCCTCATGTGCTATATTTGCTCAAATTCTCAGAAAAATAATTCCCGAAACGTGCGGGGCCATTTACAAAGTTTTGAGAAATAAGATTTTACCATGAGTCAACACTATCCTTTCAAATAATTTATACCATTTTATTGCAATGAGATCGAGAATTTCAATATTACCACCGTACAGTACCTTAATGATACGAATCTCGAAATTCATTCATATTTTCCACCATGTTTACGGTCTTTTAGGATTAGCGTTCGAAATTTGCATTACTTAACCCTCATTGCCGATATTACAGATACTCTAGTTGAAATAGGTCACTTAGTTCAATACACTATAAACATCACTAAGAATAAAATGCCTTGGCCACATTTTTAGTGAGTCATCATGCAGATATAAACATCAATGAGATCTTCGATACTTCTAGCTTATAGCACATAGCTACCTCAATTAAGAAACCATTTAAGGCGAACCATGGTACCTCCTCAGTATCATAGTTGCCAATCCATACAAAAAAATTACTGTGCGTTACGCTTCTATGCGTTAAGTGTGGTGAAGATTACCCGTCTGTTGAATACACTATGATCATCTCTTACCAGCTAAATGTCAGAACCCTAAGTTCTGAGCCCAACACTTCTTCCATATATATACGTATATGCATTATAATAAAAAAGGATTATTTATATTTTATTATTTTTTTATTTACTATTGATTATTTGATTATTATATAATCAAGGACGGATTTAGGACTAGGCTACCTAGCCTAGTCATGATTCCATGAGCGCCATGACTTGGGGGGCGCTCAGCCGTGGATGGTGAAATAATTTTTTTTTTTGTAGATACTAGATAATACAATGACTATCTGCAAATTTAATTTACCATCTACGAGAATTTATATAGTTGAACTTAAATATTAGTAATGAATAATGTTAATTACTTTAAATTAGTTCGCTGTTGTAAATACACTGTTGTATATATACACTGGGGCGGATCCATAGTCTTAGTTAGGGGGGGGAGGAGGCAAGTTATAATTTTACAAAATCTTATAACAAAAAGGAAACAACAATTTTTATAACATAAATTCAAATCGTCTATTTTTAAAATTGGCAAAAATATCAATAATATGATCAATTTGATCTAGAATTTCTACATTATGATATAAATTAATTAGACATAATGCTGATAGTCTATTTTCAGTCATCATCGAACGAAGCCAGGTTTTTAGTCTCTGAAGTGTGGAGAAACTCCTTTCAACCGTCATACCTCTATGGATCTATCTACATACTTGTGTGTGTCGTATGATAGTAGATATTATAATATGCATTTTTTATAAATACGGTACGGGAAAGAAAGAAGGAAATGAAGCTATAAAAATAAATACATTTTTCGTGATAATTGACAAACTGGTCCTAGAATTATCAAAAAGATCAAAAGCTTACACTGAACTTGATAGTCTATTTAATTATTTTTCGAACTTGCTATTTATATGCCTGAGAATATTAAAAGAATGAACTAAAAGATTAGTTAAAAAAATATTCAAATGATCTAGAAAATGAGCTCTATGAGGAATGTTTATATTTCAAGTAATTTTTAAATGAAATTGAAATAGAGGAGTCAGATAAAAAAATCTTCCGGCATATTTTTGACAATTTTAAGAGAAAACAAAATTATTGCAACGTTTCCAAATTTAGACACTGCTTTGAAAATGTAACCATTATTCCCTCAAATGCAACTGGTAAAAGATCATTTAGTATTTTAAAGAAAATTAAAAATTATCTAAGTAATTCCATTTCAGATGCAAGGGTATCTAATTTGGGGTCATTTAGTGCGAATTCAGAATTACTAGAATTTATGAACTTCAACGACTTAATAAATACGTTTGCAGCAACTAAGTCAAGAAAGCGCCAAATATAAATATTATTAATTAATAAGTATTCTTCTGCAGTATTCAATCTAATGATTGGTTTGCAGCAATTTCCATGTTTTTCTATCACTAGCCTTCCTTTTCAATTCTTAATATGAGTTACATCCTTGATCTTTCATTATCCGACTTATGTATTGCAATCTTGGTCTTCCTCTATGGTTTTTTTCCGTCGATCACATCTTCTAAGATTAATAATAGCAGCCCATCGTGTCTTAAAATACGACCTATTAATTCATTTCGCCTTTTCTGTATATTTTTCCACATTGATTTTCTCTCCAATACCCTTTCTAAAACTTCTTTATTAGTGATTCTATCAGTCTAACTTATCTTTTGCATCCTCCTGTAGCACCACATTTCAAATGCCTCTATTCTTCTCATTTATTTTCTTGCAATAGTTCATGTTTCACATCCATATAACATAATGCTCCAGATGTACGTTTTTAGTAGATTCTTCCTGATATTAAGGTTAATGCTTTTTAAAATAAAAATATTTCTTTTCTTATTAAATGCCATTTTAGCTTGGCATATTCTTTTTATAATTTCTTTTTTGTATCTCCTATCTGAGCTTATAGTGCTACCTAAATATATGAAGTCTTCTACTGATTCTATAGTTTCACCATCCTTTAATTTTATTTTTGTTCGTATGTTGTTGTATATACTACATACAAGTATTTTCGTTTTTTTTCAGGGGTGCCATTTCAGTTTTTTTTAAGGGTGTGCAAGCAATTAAAAAGGCCAATTT